TATGAGACCTCAACATGCAGGAAGAGTCAGCAGTCCTTTATATAGAATGCACAGTGTTGCATCCACAGGAACAGGATAAAAGATAATTTTTTGCTCAGTAAAGAGAATGAATGTTTTTTCCCCTCCCTCTCTCCCTTGTCATTCTCTAAACAAAAGGCAATAGCAGTACGTTTGTGGGGTACCAACTTTATTGTTACTGTCAGTAAGCAGAGCATCAGAGTAAAGGATAAGTCAAGCAATACTTCTCTGATTTTACTGATGGAACATGTGAAAATGCTGGAAATGTTGCAGCAGATTTATTTCGTATCACTTTATTTTTAATATCTCTCTGTTCCCTGATTATATGAGATAAAAGTTTTTAAATGCATATGGATTCCCAGTGATGATATTGTAAAACAGTTTTCAGAGTATGTTAATAAAAAATGTCCTGACTTTGAAAAGCCTTCAAACCAGGTATTGCTGCCTGTTTCCTTTAACAGTATGTGTATGAGAGAGAAAATGCTGTAGTAAAAAATGTGTAGTAATAGACACTTATATCCATCCAGGCTTCACTGCTTGAATTCTATATGAACATAATTCAGAGTTCATAGATAAAGATATTAGAAATTGAAGAATGGATACCACTTGTTTAAGGCAGAGAAGAGCCTTTTCAAATCTGTACAGAGATGTTTCACTTGAGAGATGCCCAGATTTTTTGAACTTGGGTGTGAGTCATTGAGGCAAAATGCAACAGCATAGTAATTCCTTCAGCTGAAAAAACTTTAATTGCAGTTGAACTTTTTTTTAAAAAAAAGTTGTTTAGGAAGAACACTGTGCTAAATTTTCAGTCTGATCTGATTAATCCCAAAGATGCTCGGTACTGTGTTCATCCTGGGCCCTTGTTTGACATGGTGTAGTGCAATCCTCAGTCAATCGATACGTTGCAGTTGTCTTTAGAAGTCTGGGCAACAGGCAGCCTGAAAGTCAGAGCTGTTTTGAGCTTATTGGAAGGGCAGGCTGAAGCTGATGTACACTGGGGCTATTTAGATAAAGTTGTTCTGCTGCTGATCATCTTTGGGTTCTAGCAGGAACTTTTTTTCTCAGTTTATGCCTTATTTGAGTAATAGGAGGTAACCTGAGTAAAAGTTGTTGTTATCTGTGCTAGATCAAGCTTTAAAGTATTTTCCATGCAGTCTAGTAATTACAAGGCCTAAGTACAAACCAGTGTTAGAATATCAAGGAAATGTTACCGATTTTAAATAAATAAATAAAAAGTTGTTTTTCAAAAGAAAAAGATAAACAGCACAATTTTCAATTGTTATTCTGGAGTTTTAAGTATTTCTCTAACTTGGTTTTGGGGTGTTTTTTTTTTTTGTTTGGGGTTTTTTTGTTTTATGTGTTTGTTTTTTTTTTTTTTTTTGTGTGTGTGTGTGATTTTTTTCTTTGTTGGCTTTTGTTTGTTTTTTTCTTCTAGGGACCATTCCTTTCTCTCCTGTTTGCCTTCCTTTTCTCTCCTTCCACACCCACCCTTGAACTAACCTTCACAAAATCCTGTCAAACGCAGTGCCACAATTTCATATTTCCTACTCATACTGCATGGAGCAATAGTGGATCTTTTTGTCTCACTGGCTCCTTGTTCAACTAAAACACTACATGTCTGTGCTTTCTTGCATGTGTCTTTCACTATGAGTCTTATATGGGGATTTCACGAAGCTACAAAGCTTCAGGGGCAAATCTTTAGCTGGCCTGTTTTTACAGCTCTAGTTGTGCTTCTAATGGGTGTTGTAAATGGTATCACTCCTGTCAGCCTCTCTCTTGGAGGTGCTTCCTAAGCCAGGAAATTGTAGTCTTTAACATGGAAAGACTGTAGGAAGAGTGTGAATTTAAGTCTAACAGTTGCTTCCGAATACCTCCATGCTTTCTTTGGATCAAAAATAACTTCTTCCTGATGGTTAATGCTAAGAAAATTTAATTCATTTACAGGAACACATTCTATATGCATGCCTGTGCTTGCACTTCTCAAAGATCTTTGACAGGCTCAGAAGTGTTACACTTTTTTTTGTCCTTTCTGTGGTCATGCTTGCTTTGTGGATCTGGCTTGTCTTTGGGGTCACATATAGTCCTTCATAATTTAATACAGTGGGCACTGGGCTTGGTGATGAAGTTTGGAACTTGAGAGACCAGAGTAGGGGCAGGATACCTGAGTTTGTTCTTGTAGCTACAAATGTAGAGCAGCCATCATGGGTCAGACTGGTGGTCCAAGCTAGTTAAGTAACCTGGCAGCAAGTGTGACCATGAGTAGGCACTGAGGGAAGGGTAGATATGAAGCAAATACATATACTTTGTTCAGACTTCAAGACCTCAAGTATTTTCAGCGCAAATGCTTTCCTGAGCAGGAGGTTACTTCTCTCTGGTTTCTAACCCTCAGCGGATCTGTCTTCCAGGTCACTCATCCAGGTTTTCTTTGAATCCTGTAGACTTTCCCTTCCCAGGACCCTTTGCCACAGATGGGCTGTGCACTGCAGGAAGGGCTGTGAATTGATCTTAAGATCTGGAGCCAAAATATCTTGTTAGCCAAACAGTATCTGTGATCTGAGGTGTCTCGTTATTTAAATCAGTTCCAACTGCCTTCAATTACTATGCTCTTATGATAGCTGCTTTTATGTGGAGGTTGACTGCTTTTGCACCTCAGAAATACTCAAGCATAGTAATAATCTGAAAATAGCAGTGAGTGTTTGTGTACAGAAACAAACCCTGCATGCCAGCAACTGTAGTGCCTTCTACTAACCATAAAACAACCTACCCGTACCTAGAAGACTTGTTACTGAAAACTTGGATGCTGTGAATTCTCAGTGCTCCTCTCTTCTAGCACCCTTGTTCTTAATGTCTGCGTGAGATTTTCTGAGCATTTGCAAACAAAAGCAAATAAAACCTCTAAGTGCTCCTTGAAAACTATGAATTGCCACCATTCCTCTCAGGTGGAGAAATCTAGGGAGGTTTAGCTACCCCCAAACTCTAAGACACAGCAGAGTCAAGAATCCAGATATCCTATCACTCTGACCACTGTATAGTACATTTCTGTTAATTCTTGCCTTTGACCAAAGGAATGCAGCATGTAACCTACACATCACTATGTAACCATGTTTCTCAATTGCACTGACTGAACTACATACGTTGTTGGAGTACATAGGCATATGTTAATTGCTGACTAGGGAGCTGGTCTATTTTTTCATTATTTTATTCATGCTGAAGGCAAATTAATCATTTTGGTTCACTGTTCTAAGCAGGCAAGTAGATACTGTGCTTGAACTGCTGTGTTACTTGGCAAACCTGGGTTAGCACACTATCCCAAGCATGCTCACACACATATTACACTGTGCAGTTACACTAGGCATTTGTGAACAGGAGGAAACATGCTTTTTCACACCTCTGCCTTCAGAGCTGAATTGTTCATGCTCCGTTTCTCTCTGGCTGAAGCATAGAGTTCTTATGTACACAAGTAATTTGCAGCAGCTGAACAGACTACTTTGTGCAGTAAAGGACAGGCAGGAGGGCAGAGATAGTGTACCACGTACAAAAGAAAGGACGAGAAGGGCAAAGAATAGTTCTATTTTCCTCTCCAGTGTTGTCAGAGAGAGGCTGCTGAGGATCACTAACAAGCTATTACTGATGGGTTGTGTGAGCATGAAATAATGGCTAAATGAGGTCTCTGACAGTAGCAAGCGGAGATGTGAGTTTTAAGCAGTCTATCTCACTGTGGTAGAAGTTGCTTGGTTTTCAAGGACTCCATTATCAGAATGTTTACTAGGCAAAACAAAATCAAAGCTTACCATTCAAGGCCCAGATTAAATTATTTAAAATTAAGCATATTCTAGATAAGGTTGTGGAGTGTCCTATTAGTTCTGTGTTCCCTGTACTGCTTTCTGTTTCCGAAAGTCTCCAGCACCTTGCTAAAGAGCAGTAGTATATTTGCCTAACTGTGCCTGGGAAAAAATATCTAGACTCTACTACCTAAATGAGAAAAGGTTTGTTAAGGTGCGAGATCCCTTAACTGTATTTTGTTATATTATGGTTCTCATACATTATTGCACAGAGTGCCTGCTGGCACAGGATTCAGTGATGATTAATTAGTAGGCTTATCATAATGAATGATAATTAATGCTGCAATAAACTTTTTCCAGCACAACAAGATATTATCCTGTTTCTAATCCACACTGGTATGTTTATTTAACTCCTTTTGCATGTAAAATAGCCTGGCAATTGAGGGATTTACCTCAATCTCCTGCTGCAGCAGATCAGTGCAGCTCTGAAGTTAGTACAGGCAGAGCAATTGACACCAGCTAAACGTCTAGTTCATGAAATACAGGTTCACTAAAACATGCTATATAGTGGTGCTGTGATTTGAGGATCTGGAAAGATTCTTTCTGGAGGAATCAGCTGGGATAAGACTGGAAAGCTTTGCTAGACTGGTAGTATCATGGAGCAGCATGTTTACATGAAGGATTTGATGCCAGATACAGTGTTCACCTTGTTCTGAGTTCCTCTGCATCTTTCTGTCCTTTGCCTCCCCACTCAGTACTTCACTGGATATAACTATTAATGAGACTTACTTTTCTATTCCACAGTACATGATAACTTTAATAATTGCTAAAGGTCCAACTGCATGTTGTTAACCCTGGTAAGTGTAGAGCTGGAATCTGTTCCTAGATCAAAACTTGTAAAACTGGGGAAAATCTAGATAAAAGAATCAGACCTTCCCCTACACCTACCAGGGTCAGCAACTGGACCTTTAGCAGTTATTTAAACTATCCTGTACTGGGGAACAGCTGGATAATTGCAAATATTTTTAAAAATATTTCCCCTCTTCCCCTAAAACGTGGGAGAAATCTGATTTCCCTCTGGTCAACACAACTTTAATTTGTTTGTATTACTGAAGGAAGATTCGTTTGAACAAGGATTCTGGAATGCTTTCACTGTTTATTTAGCGTGGGAGCAATAACTCGGTGCAAGTCAGCCAGCCCCTACAAAGAGATAATTTTGGCATTTACTGCACCCCAGTCAGGGAATCTTCTATATTCCCTGGGTTTCAGTAAATATTGTCAGCCCCTAAAGTTGGGCATTTCCTACGAGATCCAAGAACCACCTAAAACATTGAGGAAGAAGATCTCAGGGAGACAGACGTAACCTGGGACTGATTGCCAATCCTCAGTGAGCTCCAGCATTTGACCTTGGAGCTCCTCTTTTTCATGGAGCAGAATCTTGTGGGAAACAGAATTCTGCAGTAGCAAACACAGCAAAAATGTAGGAAAGACAGAAATTTAAATGATTCTGACATTACTGAATAAGACAGACATACAGAAAGGGGCAACTTTCTCAGCTGCTATGTGCATTTCTGAGAAACTGTGTTCTATTCTGGAGATGGGACTGTGAAGAGATTCACTCTTTTGAAGCTAATAGAGGAGGCTTAATTCTTACCCACATGGGGATCAGGTGTGGTAGGACGTAAACAGAGGATATTTTATGATTTGAAGAAATGGGATTTATAAGGACTCTATATTGTGATAATAGAAGAAAATGTATTCATGTGACTTTGAGATGATCTGTGGTGCATACTCGTGACCAGGCATGAATAATGTGGCCTTTTCAGAATTACACTACTGAAAGACATTTATGTTGTTAATCCACATGCTCCCATTATATGCTGGTGGGCAGGCAATTGCCATGTAGCAAATTGCTGAGCTCTGTGAAGCACAGACATGTGGAGTGTTCCTGCTGCTATAGCTTATACTATATAGTATATCTTACTAACCAGAGAAGCATTTCAGCAAGTATTAATTCTTTGCCTGATTTTAACTAACACAGCTTTTATGTTTGGGAAGCTGTAGTCATGGCAAATTTGATTTAACATGTGCTTGTGTCATTGAACCATAACATAATATGGTCATGAGCAAGTTCCATACATCAGCCCACAGCAGAATTTTATATCAGCTGGCCCCACTAGCCCTTTCCTGGGTAATGTAAAAACATTCTCTACCTAGAAGTAGTTACCTTTCTTTTAGCATCTCCAGGTTATGAACAGGCACTGGAAATAGCACTGATACTAAACAGATTATTTCCTTCATGTCCAGTGAAACTTTTCATTGCCTTATTGAACTTTGACTATCTCTCAAGTTACTTCAAGAGACTGCATAACTATATTCTTGAGGCATAAACTATACCCTATTTCTTAAACTGTGATACACTGCCAAGCAGAACTCACTTGTAGGATTACATGGCAAGACCTGATGGAGTTGCAGAGACTGAACCACTTCTCAAAGTCAGAATAGTCTCCCCTTTTAAAAAGTACTGCTTCTCTGAGTAATTGGAATTCTCTTAAATCATCCAGCTACTTTTTTCCACCTGGTTGGAGCTTCATTGTTTCACGTAAGATCACAGGGCAAGGCGGTCACTGCTACATTCATAGCAATGGACCTAGAAGCTGTTGTCTTCATAAAAAAGTTATCTGCAATATAAACATTTGTAACAACTCATAGTCCATCCCAGTGTCCGTGTCAGAGCAGGGTACTGGCATAGTGGGGCTTCCACTTACCTTTCACGTTTCTGTTGGTTTGCTGAGGTGAAAGCTGAGAGCTGTGAGCAAACACTGTGGTTGCTTTGATACACCACAGTCCTAATGCTGCATCTGAAAAAAAGTAACACAAAAGGGCCCATTTTAAGCTGTGGGGAGATCTCATATTTTGTCTTTATTGTAGTTATGGCATTTATTGCATTTACCATGTAGGGCTCTTATTTTTCTGAGTTTTGGACTGCATTTGCTGATGCTATGTGCAAGTGAATTACTGTCTAACTGTGAAGTGGACTACACTTTCAGCTGGTATCAACTGCTTCATGTGGTGCACCTGACCCAGTGAGGCATGGTTCATTACAGAACCTCCTTTGCCTGAAAGCTGCCAAACTCAGCAGACCTGAGCAGTTTCTGGTGTAGGTCTGTTCCTCTCCATCACTCTGTGTCAATTATCTCTTGCCTAAATTTGTCCCTTGGTAATCTTTCCTTTTGTGAGAGCAGATGAACTTTGCTTCAGCTTCAATACTTTGTCACCCACTTTATCCTGGAAACAGGAAAAGTCTCCATCTCACGTGGTGTTGTTAGCTTTTGCCTACTAATCCCTTCCATTGTGTACAGATTTTAACACAGACATGTTAGGAGGAAATAATGATTAAAAATTTCAGTCCCTTCCTGGTGTGTGGTTAACTGCTGCGTTGCTGAAGACTAAAAAGATTGAAATCAAATTGATCTTATTAGATGTTTGTCAGTGTATCTGAATTACTGGCTAACATTGTAAATCATGTTGGGTCAGTTGGTTCAATTTTTTCCCTTTGAAAGTCCATTTTAAAAGTTCAAAGGCAGCAAGCTGCATCAAATTCAAGTTGCTCTCTGTCTAGAACCAGGAAGGATTGTTGTTTAATGCTGAAGTAGAGTGCTTTAACACTCTGTTAAGTGTTTAATACTGTTTTAAGCACAGCTAGTAGGTTATGGAAAACTGTATTACTCCATTTTGGAACTTTTTCTCTATAACTTTTTCTCTTCTTTGGTGCAGGGCTGGAACAAACATTGACTTGTTCTATTCTGATTATCATTTGCTTGCATCTTAATCTTTGACTCTTAGAAACAAACTGCTTCACAGAATATGTGAAGCTGTTTATACAAATGTTTTGTATCACTAGTAGGTGAGGCTTCAGATCAAAAGAAACTAATGCACTCCAAAAACAGATTTATAATCTCATATATTTGGGGAAACTCATTCAAGCACATAAAGACCTTGTCAGCATGATTCATCAGTTAACTTGGCATGCAGATGAACACCTTTGTAAATCTAATTTATTTTAAAAAGCTCTATTTGCAACTACACAGTCTCTACCTGCAGGGGAACAAATGAGTGTTTGTGGCTTTAAGAAGGGAGAGCAGGGCAAGGTTTGGGAGGCTTAGTGGAGAGCAGTTTTGCTCACGATGCTTCAGGCCAAAGTAAAGGGCTTCCAGTGCTGTAGCAAGGAAAGAGAAAGGCAAGAGTGCCTTCTGGGGAAACAGACAGGGGGAATATGAAACCTCTACCCTTGCATCCTTCCATCACAAACTACTTCACTGATGTTGTTTTTAACTGTATCCTTATTGAATGACAGGGGCTAATGTGCACTCACCATTTCTGAACAGGTTGAATACCCTCCTGTCCTCTTTAGTATATTCAGACTTATCCTTCCGTGTTTTCTGAGTTACCTCAGGCCATCTGCCTTCATCCTGTTGGATTTACTTGTCATGATGTTTGCTTGTCTGTTGTACTTACCTTGATATCTTGTTGCTGTTACTGTAAGTGTACTGTTTAGGGCTTGGTTCTTGTCTGCTGGATGGATGAGTTGCTGACCTGGACTCAATGGAACTGGCAACAGGGAGAGTGGGCATGCAAGAAATAATACAGAAAGTTAGTGCAAGGTTGTCACATTGCTTTAATGTAACATCTGACTCTATTTCAAAGTGTAATCCCTTGTGTATAGAATTATTTAGGTTGAAAAAGACCCTTAAAATGGAGTACAACCATATGGCAAACTGGTAGGTAGGTCTTTGGCATGATGAAAGATGTAGAGAAACAGTTATTGCTGCATGGATTGCACATAAGGTCTTTGAACAGTGGATGTTAATTCAAGTCCCCATTAAGGGCAATGAAATCTCAGCCTGGATATCTTTGGCAACCACACCACATACTTGCCTCACATATATGGACTGTGTGTTTAGCACTGGCAGTGGGAATACATGTGTGCAGGTACCTGGCAGATTACTTCCATAACAGCACCTGACTTGGTGACAGTCTGTGCAGAATTTGGCAGTTGGTGTTCTCTGTCTCTGCTTTGTTGCAAACTCCTTTTTGGAGCCAGTTTGCGCTAGTTCATGTTTTGAGCACCTCTAGCCATTCTTAGATACAGAAAATGCAGCAGAGATGCTTTCTTTCAACCATTACTCCCCTTGTGGAGCCAGCATCCTGTACATTGTTTTAGAGAGATAGAGGAAAACTGAATTTCTCATTGCTTTGACTCTGGTATTTGCTCTTGCTGCTGGCTGCCTCTTGAAGATATGTAGTCCTGTGCATTTAATATGTTAGATTCCATCCTGACAAAATGGATTATTTCCAGAACAGATTGGTTATATTTTTGCCCTACAGATAAACCAATCTCTTGACCAAAATGGTTATTTTGCCATTCCAAGATGGATGCTAGATGTTTCCACCTGACATTTGACTAAGAAAACACTCTTCACCAAAATGAGTGAGAATTTTCATGAATAGCTAGAGAATCAGTAGTGACATGTCTGAAGTCAGGATTACTGTAGCAGAAATGAGGGGGAAATTTGGGCTTGCTCACATGGGCAGTGCTCTAATAACTGCCTACAGCCTAAGGACTCTGGCCCACAAGCTTATATGGAGCAATTTAAGAAGTCAGCACCTCTGGTCTTGCAGGCAGTATGTCTGTGCCTCAGCTGCTGTGTTGTTCACAGCCAAGCGTTAGCTGAAACCATCCGATTTCAGTGTCATTAACTGGACTGTGAATTGCAGTACCAAGTTGCCACTATGAGTTCTACTGCTGGGGTACAATGGGAAACTCTTAAATTGTCAGAGAGAAAGCCGATGATGTCCTGTTCAGTTCCACACTTGCTGCACAAGGCCTCAGTACCATGATTTCAGGTACTTAGAATGAACAGACCCAGAATGGTCTCTTACCTTTCCCAGTGTGGATAGTGTTGCAGTGCAGTGCTAGGCACCAACAGTATGCCTATGACAACTGGTGCTAAGTGTGTACATACGATCAGAGGTCTCTTCTGGGTCCTGTAGAACAGATTTGTGACCCTGCATCTCATCTGAGCTCTGAACTCTGTCCATTGCTTTGAAGTTGTCATGGCTAACTGATCTAGTCACAGCAATGCTTTTTTTTGTTTTGTTTTGGTTTTTTTTTGTTTGTTTGTTTGTTTTGTTTTGTTTTTTGTTTTGTTTTGTTGTTTTTTTTTTTATTCGAGAGACAATGTACCTTAGGAAAAGAAGAAATTCCAGTTAAGGTGGCAGAAAGCTATCATTCACCAATCCCTGTGCACACATCTGCAAGTACCTTTCAGCTCCCTGAATTTGGCTGTCTGAAAATGTGAGCATGATCTGCTGGGCTTGATTTTTGTGGGCAGGCTACCAGACACAAGCCAGCCACCAGGGGAGGGAGTAGCGAAGGGGCAGGTACTTGCAATCTGAAAGCAAAACACTGGGTTTTATGCTTATTATCATATCAAGATTTCTGTTGCTTATTCCTCTTAACTCCATGGCCTTATCTATAAAGACCAGGAAGTATTAGCCAATGAAGAGTGAAGACCATGGCAGTACTCTATTATCAAAGACAGCACTGGAATAGCATGGCTAACCACCTATTTGTTAAAGTCTTACTGTTTATTTTATTGCAGGTCAGTGAACAAAAATCAGTCGTGAGATGTTAATCTCTCTCTAGAGCTGTTTAATCTTAACCACCCCCTCACCATTGTTATCCTACTCACGTGCTCAACACCAATATCCCCTCCTCCCTTCTTGTAATGACCTCATCTGAAAGAACAATTTCTCTCTGCTTTGACTTTCAAGGGGTCAGACTGATGCTGTTTGAGTTGGAATGAAATTTGCTCAGGTCCTGGCACTGGCTGCTGCCTACTGCTCTAGTGAATTTGTTTGCAAGAATGGAAGCCTCTGTTTAGAAGCTGGTGGATACTCTGATCTCCAGGAATGAGCTTGTGCTAAATGTGACAGGGCAGACCTGTCCCAGCAGTGAACATAGGCCGTGGAGGAGAGGTAGGAACTGCTAAATAGGATTGGATAGTGTGTTCCAGCAATCCTGCTTCCTGAAGAATGAAGTAATCAGGCCAAAACAGCTGATGCTGCAGAAATTCATGGCTAAAGTGTTCCTGTATAAGGGAGGGTGATGTTGCTGTTGATCTTAAGTCCCCTCTAAGCTTTCTCATCTGACTCCCTTAGGACTTGAATTTTGGATCACATGGCTTGAAAGTTGGGGGATGCATGGCATGGCTGAGAAGCCCCATCAATATCAGCACCAAGGCTCACTAGTTAATCTGTAATTTCTGAATGTACCAAGATGTGGTTAGGTCTTTCCCGAAGGACAGCTCAGAATTAAAAGGATAGGTGTTTACAGCAACTACATTTTATTTTAGACTGATTTTAACAGGAAATTTGTGATAAATTATGGGTTCTTTTTTTTTAAAAAAGAAAGAAAACGCTGTGATCCTGGTGAGCTGAAAGCAAGCTTTGAGTCCATGAGGACTTCTAAAAGTCCCTTTGAATCCCTGATTAAGTTTAACTGTTGCCAGGCTTTTTTGTGTTGTGCTGTTTTTTGGCATCTCCATAAATAGGCTCAGTGACTGAGAATCAGTGGGCAAAAGAAGAAAAATGGTTTTGTTTCACAAGTGTTTATTATTTTTTCCTTTAGCAGATATTTTGCATTAGAGTACATGACCATCCCCAAATCATGGGTTAATGCAGCTGTACAATATGTGACCCTATTTTGGATGGACGTCTATCCCCTGGCTAGAGGTAGCTGGGAATCTTAATTTCTGTCATTTTTATATGTAAAGAGCTCTAATGGCGTCTCTCTACCTTGCAGTTAGTGTTAAACACACCTCTCAGTGTTGCAGGTGCCTTAATAAAACAGTTTGGATCCTAGAATATTATTTTGATTTTAGTTTAAAAGTATGATTTTGACTTAACATGAAGCTACAGTAGCTCTGAGAATATAAAGTACACTGAGGCCCTTAGGATTAAGCAACTAGTATGCTGTGTGCCTTGAATACTATAACAATCATTATGGACTCTGAATTAACACAATGGGTACTGGTTATGGATTTTGACTTGAAACAATAGGTACCAGAGGAAAACTGGTTTGGTTGGGAAGATCAGCCAAGGGAGAGGTGAACATTAACCAAAGATGGAGTGAGCATGTGCAAGGATGGAGTTCAATCAGCCGACACAGTGATGAAGACTATCGACGACCACCAGAGGACCCCCGTCCAGTATAACCACGCATGCATTAAGGACATTTGCATATGATAATAATTTCCAGGAAATAACATGAATATGCTAATCATTGCCCTCCCTCCATTCTATTTAAATCAATTAGTAAAGATGACCAATGATTTCTGTAAAATAGGAATATAGATAAGATGAGGTAGCGGAAAGTCAATCATTATTAAGGTCAACTTAAACATTATGAATTTATTGATCTTATGTAACTATGACTCTGCTGAAAAAGTGTATAAATATGTTGTGCTTTGTACCTGTCGATGAACATGTCTTTGGCAGAGTTATCCCCTGTGTTCCCCAGCGCTGGAATAAAGAAGTGCCTGCTTATCTGCTGTGTGTAGATAAGTTCTTTCGCGATTGCGACCGCTAACATCAACAGTGAACAATTCTATTACCCCATTAAGCCCTGAAACTTCTATGGCATTAAGTAGAAAGAGTCCTATAGAAACACCCCAAGATATGTACCCAGGCTCCCAGCCAGAGGAAGAGAGGGATATGGAAGGAGAACCACATGCACCCAACTCTTATCCCAAGGTAGGCTTAGTACAAGAAGGGAGGGTTGTGACAGCCCAGCTAGGAAATGGGGAGTGTTCTTGGGCAGCACAGCATGGATGTAACAGAGGCAAACCATTAGAGACCTACAAATGGGGAATGGAAGACAGTTAGACTTAAGTACTACCCTGGCACTGCAGGGAGAGACTTTTTCTTCAACTGAGTCCTTTCAGGAAGAAAGAAAGCAGCAGGATGGTTAAAGAGCTGAAGAAAATGGGATCATCCCAAGAGGCACATCCCTCGTGTCACGTGCAGGGAAGCTCATTCCTGCCCCACTCTGGATCATATGCGGGAGTTGCACAGCAATGTGGACAAGGGGAAGTGTGTACTCCCTGCCTCTGAAGTGCTGCATCTTCTCTTTGGCTCTGTAAAAATAGCATGGTGGGTTGAGAAGCAGTAGGGAAGCACTGGAAGAATGCAAGGTCCCAGCATACTGGCAGGGAAGCAGGAGAGAGGTGGCTAAGGGAAAAGGAGGGAAGGTCAGAGTCTTGGATACAAGACATGAGGGGTGTGAAGAAAGGAATGACTGCTAAGGTTTGAAAACAAAGCCAAAAAAAAAAAAACCAAACAAACCCAAAACATAAGTCCCAAATGTATTACCAAAGCTAAGGTAGAAGACATTAGTTAGCTCACCTACAGCTAAGTGAGGTACATGAAGTCTAGGTCTTTGTTACGTCTTTGCTTCCTTTGCATTCCTTGCTTTTGAATCTGTTCCAGGCTTCTCTGGAGAGATTCCTTGTTTTGCTTCAGTAGCTCCCTGCAGGATGCAAATGTTAATAAGCACAAGCACAGCATGCAGGGCTGAATCTATCAGGAGAGATGGGGACTGCGTGGCAGATCAGCTTCCCTCCTGCTGTGTGACATGTGATGCACATTGAACTCAGGGCTGTGAGGGAGCCCCTTTACTTGGTCAAATCCAGCCCTACTGCTGGAATGTTTTCTTAGCTTTCCTGCTCAGTGGAGCTGCAGTAAACAATAGGCTTTAGCAAATCATGGACAAATAGAGAGGCAGAGCCTAATTCATATACATGCTAGGCTAATCTGATGTTACTGGTTTCTTTATGGAGTCAGGTTTTTGTTAATTATTTAAAAAATAGTCTTCAGCTGTTTTTTTTTTTAACCTAAAAGTGATAGTAGTGAATGTGCTTTGCAGGGGTATTAGCCAGAAGAGTGCCTTTCATGTGTATGTTGAATATTAGCAGAGCTGACTTTCCAGATCATGAGTGACACCTCCTGACAAGGTATGATACACTTGCTGTGAGAGTCCAATTTAGGATTGACACTATGTTATAAATTAGTGCTACTATGAAACATCTCATGCTAAAGAGTGCAGACACCGGCAGGCAAGAAAGTGTCTGTGGGCTCTGGGTGGCCTGTGGTGCCACTCTGGCTGTGACATTCAGTGGTAGTGTTGCAAAACCAGTTTTCCTGTCTTTTCAGTTCTTCAGACCTACTTTGTCAACCTGTTGCTTTCCTCTGGCAAGTGAGTCCTGCTGCTTGATGTCCTTTTCAGCTCTCCTTGCTGAACAAGGGTTGGTCTTTTGATATGCTGCTGCTGTCTGGTACATGATGGCTTGGGAAGGAGAAAGAGCCTCACAGCATCTTGGGTTTACCAAAGTGCCAACAGGCTGCTTTACAGACCTACTGCATGGGATCAGTTGCAATATGTGGTTGCAGCTAAAGGGTCCTAGCTTCAAATTCTGTAATGCTCCTGAAGTTCCTCTAATTTTTCCTGCACTTGAAGAAGAAGCAGGGAAGTGGTGGGTGTGTGTCTCTTTCACTGGCCAGTAGCATAAGACATTTGCAAAAGCCCTTGTATTAGTCCAAGCTTAATAACAAACTAGTGATTGTCAGACATGAAGGCTGATTCTACTATAAATGTGTAATCTTATTGTTTACCTCAACTTGAGAAAAACGCTCCTTTTGCAACTGTCATGAACTTCAGGAGCCTGAGCTAGGTGCTATTTCTAGGCTACAATGAGAAAAGGCCTGTACCTCCCCCCCCCGCAAGAGAACTGGCACAGACCAAGGATTACACCATCCTTTCCATGTGCAGTTGTGGAAGCTCAGCAGGCTGTAACTCAGCGGCTCTGTTGGGCCAGGTTCTGGTGCCCCATGTTCCTCTGCCCTGGTCATGTGAGAGTTTGGGTGAAATGTGCTCACTTTGCTTCCAGGTGTACTCTGCAGCTTCAGGGGCAGTCAGCATGGCAAACAGATGCAGGGAGAGCTGGTAAGGTTGAGTCCAGTGGTCCTGAAAGGACAATTCA